TAGAAGGTTCTGGCACCATTTGGCGAAAGTTGACAATTTGAAGGTTTGAAATGTTCATAAGCTTGATGAAGAGTTGACCTTCATGATATCGGGTTCAGATTGTGGTTCCGAAAATTGGAATAGCTTCGTTATGTCATTTAAAACTTATGTGCAAAATTTGAGATCATTCCAAGTTGAATTGATACGGTTCGACATGAGTTTTGGAAGTTGAAAGTTCAAAAGATCATAAAGTTCGATTTGAGGTGCGATTCGTGGTTTTGACGTTTTTGTGTGTGATTTGACTCCTTGAGTAATTTCTTGTTATATTATGGGACTTGTTGGTTTGTTCGGATGGGGTACCGAGGGGCTCGAGTGAGTTTCAGACATGGTTCAGATCATTTCAGATGGTTGTTGTATTGCTGATTGCTGGTGTGTCTGCAGAGCATCGCGATCGCGGAGCCAGGCTCGCGATCGCGAAGGGGAATTCCGGAGCTAAGTAATTTTCTTCTTCATGTTTACATCACCAGGAACGCATTCGCGTAGGTTTTTGTCCGTTACTATTTGCATTTGCAATGAGGCATCGTGTTCGCATAGAGCTGAGCTGAGAGTAGGGAGCTAGGAGCTGGTGATTTCTCTGTCGCGTTTGTGTGGTATAGTACACGTTCGCGGAGAGTTGGAATCTATGGGCATTACGTTCGCATGAGTAAGCTCGTGAACACTTAGAGTGTTTCAGGGCATTGTGATTTTTCTTCTTCACGATCGTGACGGGCCCGCACTCGAAACTCGACAAAACTCACAAAATCCGACAACTCATTCAATTACAAGTCCAACCATACTAATTTCACTCAAACTCGACTTCGAATCGATGTTTAAAATTCAAAAATTCACTATAGGAAAGTTAGACAAAACCCCCCCTACTTTCTCGAAATCATCAATTAAATGCCAAAAACGAAGATGAAATCACGGAATATAATCAAAACCGAGTAGAAAACACTTACCCCATTACATGTTGTAAAAATTGCCTTCAAAATCATCCCAATCCGACCTCAATAGCTCAAAATATGCTAAAATGTCCGAAACCTTCGAAAATAGAGTACTTATAATCACTGGACAGATATATGAATCGCGATTGCGGAAATACCAACACTCAAGAAGATTATTGAAAAATTTAGACAATTGAAGAATTTTGAACAGTATAACATAAGTATAAAAAAAATTCCAGAATAAGAAAATATATACTTATGTTAAATTAAACGAAAAGTAGTATCAAGATATTAAGCCAATTGACAAGTTACAGCTTGTTTGGATTGTTGTTATATGTCGTTTCATAATGTATTATATTTATTATATTATATCGTATTGTATTGAATTGAATTGTTTGATGAATATAACACTTGGATAGATTGTATCATTTGCTATCGTTTCATAATGTCATGCACTAGCAATAGGAAGAATAAACTTGCAATTTACTAAGAAAAAATATGATACATGGTAGAATTACTATATAAAAAAGTAGGATAAATGATAAAATATAATTATTTAATAATAAGGAAGGGCAAGATGAGATAACAAAGTAAGGAAACAACTCCACCATACCAAATCCGTTGTTCCATAAAGTGTCACTTTTCGTCGTTACATAACAATGGATTTAACGATACAATACAATAAAATTTAAGTAATAATCAAAATAAATATTGTACTTAAAGTAACAATACGATACAATATTGTAATGACCCGACCGATCGTTTTGGGAGTTGTAGCCCTGTTCCCATATTTACTGCTCATTTTGTGCTTTATAGCTGTTATGTGACTTGCCAGGGTAGTCGGTCCGGGTCCGGAGGGATTTCGGAATGAATTGAAACACTTAATCTCAAAGTTGAAAGCTTAAGTTGAAATGGTTGATCAGATGTTGAATTATGTGTAAACGACTCCGGAATGGAGTTTTGATGGTTCTGTTAGCTCCGTTGGGTGATTTTGGACTTAGGAACACGTCCGGATTGTGATTTGGAGGTCCGTAGTTGAATTAGGCTTGAAATGGCAGAAGTTGGAAATTTGAAGTTTGACTGAGAGTGGACTTTGTGGTTATCGGGTTTGGATTGGAGTTCCAGGAGTTGGAGTAGGTCCGTGGTGTCATTTGTGACTTGTGTGCAAAAATGGGGTCAATCGGACGTGATTTAATAGGTTTCGACGTCGTTTGTAGAAGTTAGAATTTTCTTAGTTGCATTAGGCTTGAATTAGGGTGTGATTTGTGTTTTTGATGTTGTTTGATGTGATTTGAAGGCCCGAATAAGTTCGTATGATGTTTTAGGACTTGTTGGTATAATTGGTTGAGGTCCGGGTGGCCTCAGGTTGATTTTGAATGGTTAACAGATTGGAATTTAAACTTATAGAATGGCTGAAGTACACCAGTTCTGGTGTAATCGCACCTACACAAGTTTGACCGCAGGTGCGAGCTCGCAGAAGCGAGAAGGCGAGCACAGAAGCGGGATTGAAGAGTTGGCCAGGAGTCGCAGGTGCGTGGGAAATGCCGCATCTTCGAGCTCGTAGATACGTGTGTAGCTCCGCAGAAGCGGAGAGCGAGCTGGAAGGGAACTTTGCAGAAGCGGAAAATGTCCGCAGAAGCGCAAGCGCAAGTGCGCTTAGGGAGCTGCAAATGCGAGTTTCATGGGCCTAAGTGATGGCCCCACCTGCGATGGAAATTCCGCAGGTACGGAGCTGCAGATGCGGCTAAGTACTCGTAGAAGCGGTTTAGCTAGGCAGAATATTTAAATTCAAGGGTTTGAGATTTTGCTTTATTTTTAACATTTCAAGCTCGGGATTGGGCGATTTTTGAGAGGATTTCGAAGGAATTCTTGAGGTAAGTTCCTTGTGCTCATTTTTAATCAATAATCTTGTTTCCCCATTGATTTTTCCACCTAGATTGTGTGGTTTTGAGGTGTAAATTGGGAGTTTGAGGCTAGGGACTTTGAGAGTTTGATTTGGGGATTTGGTGTTGTATTTTGGTAAATTTGGTATGGTTGGACTCGTAATTGAACGAGATTTCAAGTTTTGTGACTTTTATCAGATTTTGAGACATGGGTCAGGGTTTTTTCTTTTGAGTCGATTTTTTGACTTTTGATTAATAACTTAGTATTTTCTTATGGAATTGATTCCTTTAGCCCGTGTTGATTGTATCATATTGTTTGTGGCTAGATTCGGAATTTTTGGAGGCCGATTCGCGAGGCAAGGGTGTGTTGGAGTAGATATTTACACGGTTTGAGATAAGTAACAGTTCTAAATTTGATCCTCACGGTATGAAACCCCATATTATGTATCATGCGATTGGTTTGAGGTGACACACATTCTAGGTGACAGGCGTCTAGGCGTGCACCGTAGGAATTTTGGCTTGGTCAAATTTTATGGAACTGTATAGTTGAAGAATCTGTTATTATCCATACATTTTCCATGTGTTATAGAAATTGAACTGCAAATCATATTAGAAATCATGTTTAGACTATGTGTTGGCACTGTAGGGACCCTCAGAGGTTGTGTTACATATTGAATTATCTGCTAAATTGTTGTTTTGTACTCAGTTACAGTTTTACTTGCATATCATATCTCAGTCACTATTGTTCTTTGTTGATACATTATATTATTTCTGTTTGAGCTGATTTTTATGATTTCTGAGAGCCCGAGAGACTGGAGAGGTTGATGATTGAGTGAGGCCAAGGGCCTGATTGTAAGGATATGGATGGAATCGGGCTGCACACCGCAGCATGTTTCACTGATTTATACCATGATTGGCTTGTTATAGCGCTTGGGCTGAAGGAGCCCCTCCGGAGTCTGTACACACCCCCATTGAGTGTAGGTACCTACTGAGTACGTGTGCCGAGTGCTGATCGACTGAGAGGAATGAGTGACTGCGAAGAATTAATGATTGTGAGGTTGGAGTGAAAGGGAGACCTGAGTGACTGTTGCTTTGAGAGGATACATTTGACTTCATTTTTGTTGCACTTAGTTGTCACATATCACTATCTTGAAATTTCTGAGAGATATTATATTTTGTTTCACTTGAACATGACATGAATTAAACGATTGGACCTAAATTGTCGAACTTGAAATCATGCCTACTTTCCTATGTTGAAATTACTGTTATTGAACTATAACTGTAAAACTCGTCACTACTTTCAGTTCTTTATTTAGACTTGTTACTTACTGAGTTGGTTGTACTCATGCTATACTTTGCACTTCGTGTGCAAATCCAGGTGTTTCCGGACATGGCCGCTGTTGATTTCTTTTGCACAGTTGATCGTTTGGAGATTTCAAGGTAGTTGCCTGGCATTTCGGAGACCTTGTCTCTCCTTCCCTATCTTTCCAATTTATGTATTTAGTTTCAGACTATTATAGACAGTACTCTCAGACTTGTGTTGTATAGACGCTCATGTACTTGTGACACCCAGATGTTGGAAATTTCCGCGTTGTGTTTTGGGTTTTCTATCCTGTTTATGAGAATTTTTATTATTTAAACTGTTTGACTCATTTTCAGTTAAATGTGTTGGAAATATTTTTGAAATGTCCGCTTGCCTAGTACCACGTTAGGTGTCATCACAAATGGTTAGGTCTTGGGTTGTAACAAATACAATAGGTAACAACCATCCAAACAAGCTGTTAATAAAACGTCACATTTGTAAATGTATAGTACTAAGTACTTGCTAATTTAATAAAGAATAAACAAGAATAAACAATTTATTTGATTACTATATGATGTGTATCCTTTGATTTTGTAAAGATTTTGTTATATTTCTGTACACTACATTAAATAATAAAATAATAACTACTAACATTTATTCAAATAATACAATATATTAGATCATAATTAAATAATATTAATATTCTGTCAAATTATCCGAAATTCTTGAAATCGTTAGTTTGCAAATTGAATGAGTCTTTAGGTAAATAGAAAATCTACTGGCTATAAATCGATGCAGCTGAATCGGATTTGAGAGGACGAGCTGAGACTTTGCTGGTGACTCGGTATTGTTAAATTAAAACTCTATAGACTTCTAGTTTTATTTTCATTTAACCCCCTCTGAATATATAGATTTTGAGTTTCTTCATTAAAGAAAAGAAAAGAAAAGAGATTTGGATTCCAGACCATATGCTGCATCATGCTTTAATATCATGATTTTTTCTATTCTTCTTCATGATATTTGTGAAAATTGTATAGCACATTCTTGGGCGTGGAAAAAGTAGCAAAAATTAGAGAAATTATTTTATAAGCTGGTCGATTAAACCCCCAAAAAGAAAAAAAAGGGAAAAGTTGAGCAAATAAAAAATGGGTCCTAAATATGAAGAAAATGGGAATGAAGATAGAGAGAAGCCTCTCATAGTGAAACATGATGCTGATGAAACAGGTCATAGAGAGGAGTTGGTTATGGTTTATTTGAGCACTGCTGTGGCTGTTTGTGGCTCTTATGCATTTGGAACATGTGTAAGTTGAGATTACTCTTTTTGTTTGTTTCCCTGCGGTGGTATAATTTGCTTCTTTGTGATCGATGTGATGTTATATACATATTGCAGGTTGGATATTCATCGCCAACACAGTTTTCTATAATGGATGAACTTAACCTCTCGTATTCTCAGGTTTCCCATCTCTCTGTGACTTGGTTTTGACTTTCTCACTTAGCTTATAAATAAATAAATGATAAGCGGGTTGGGTTACGTTGTTCCCCTCTATTCGAAATGTTTACTCATGTTCTTTATCATGAACATCTAAAGATGCATTACATTTTCTGAGGTGCAACAGAAAATAAATCGAAGCATGCATGCTGTTATGAACCCGAATTCACAGCACAAAATAAATGAGGAAAATGATGGATTTAATTCATAAACTCAAAGATTCAATCATTACAATAACAATAACTAGAACTAAGAAGGAGATCTAGAGAAGAAGGATAGAGAGAGCCGAGGGAGAACAGAAAGAGATGGTCCAGAGGGAGAAGCAAGAAGAACAGAGACAAAGGGGAAGAGTTCTCAACAATATGCATAATCCCTAGAATCATTGACTTCTCCTCTTTTAATAGAATAGTTCTTGGACTCACTACTCAACCCGGATCCCAAATTAGTCTGACCATATTATTTGTTCTCGGCCCAATAGCTCTTTTCAGCCCAATAGCTATGTGTCTGTTGATATCCTTATTGGGTTGTGTTTGATTCATAACAATACTCCCGTCCTCAATGAGAACCTTGTCCTCAAGGTTCAAGTCAAGAATAGTGATACTCACGAGCTCCCAACCAATTATATGAATACTAAGGTGTTCTTTGTGCCTAGAGGAAAATATATCCAATGCACCTTCAGTGAACCAATCTAAACCTTGTCCTTTGTGGCTCTCATACATTAGAAATCTTATCAACTTGAGTGCCATCATAACCTGCCCTGCATATCGACAAAATATTGCTTGCCCTCTTCGCGAAGCAGATAGCGGAGACAAAATGAGTGAACCAATGCAAACTTTCCAGAAGCAAATCCCCACAAAAGCACCCTGAGTAATGTAATCAGCAACCCATCAATTTGCCTCAAACACCTTAGTATCCTTTCCTTGTTAACCTTTAGATCCTTCAGGATATATTCTGTTGAGCAATGGATAGGAAGGATGGTATTGTACAGTACTACTTTTGGAACAAGCCCTTTGTGAGATATGTTTGTCAACACACACTCAACTTCATCATATTTCATAAATTTCAGCGGAATAAGCATCCTATACATGACAGTTATTGACCTTTTGCCATTTAATTTCATTGCTTCCTTCAAAATGAGTGGCTCGTCCAGATTATCATTCCTGCAAAGCCCATGAATGAGGGTAGTATAAGAGACAATAGGATGACATGTACTTGTAATTGCTCTTACTCTCAGGAATTGTGTAGTTTCCACATAAAAGCCGTGAGAAAGCTGTACAAGGCTTGAATCCTCATTGATCTTCTTCACACAAAGCTTATCAACCACCTCGACAACATATCCGCAAGAACGCTAATGTGCTGAATGAATAAGGATATTTGGCTAGCTCGTTGTTCATCATGAGCACTAGGATGCTGCTGCCCTATCTTGTTCATGGTTGGAGAACAACTATTCAAGTCTGGTGCAAATAGAAAATGAATAGAATATCTAAGAGTATTACAGAAGATATCCGGGGAACCAAATGTTTGGTTTTGGTTTGAGGTGGCCACAAGATCTGCAATGGTGGAAGATGAACTCAAAGGTTCAGCTGGTACCCATGTCAAGGCATTTGTTGGTAAGCGTAATCCAATACAAGAAAGTTCTGCTACTTACAACAACAACAACAACAACGACCCAGTATAATCCCACAAATGGGGTCTGGGGAGGGTTGTATGTACGCAGACCTTACCCCTACTCCGAAGGTAGCAAAGTTCTGCTACTTGTGAATCAATATTGTCACATTTAGCTGCGCGCATCGATATATCACTAATCTCCAAACCAATATTATATTTTCAATTATTTCGCATATATAGAAATTCACACACCATTGTCGTCCGGGATCCCACACCTTGATCATAGAGTAAGAAGATGCAAATGAGCAAAACTTTCCAGTAGATACCAGCAGTAGTAATGCCTTACTTTTCGGAGTCCGGAAATTCTCCATATGCATTGTGGAAACCAGTGCACCACCAGTCCATGGATCACAGTCATCCCATGCGAAAGTTCCAACAACTTGTTTAATTAGGGATACTACAGGTTCTCGGCCACCACAAGGAAACGGATAAACAAGTCGAATAGATCTCGCATTGGAAGGTGAGACTACCAACTCACTGGTATCAATAGAAAGCAGACATGATACCATGATAACATCACCAAAAACAGAAAGTTTGTCATCCGTCAAAATTGTCTTCTTAGTACCATAAGGTAAAGTAGCATAGCCATTTAGGAGTATGAAACTCAAAATTAGAAGTCGAAAATCACGTAATGATGGCTGTTTAATTATCAACACGAACTGTTCATCCCAATTTGGATTTTCAGACTCAACAAATAAAATGTCATCAGAGACAGATTTCTCAATAACTAAAAACTCATGAGCTATTGTGAGCTTCTTATCATGTTGATGCACATACTTGTGGCTACCCAGAAAAAGAATCAGCCATGATTCCTTATGTGAAACACAATCGATTAACTCTGAAGTATCATTTTTGGGACTCTCGGTGAACACCTTGTTCACATGGCTTATTTTTCTTACTTCTAAAGCAGATCCAATCTTAGGGAACGCAACCTGTGCATTTGGTTTTTCATCGTTTGCTAAAGTTGTAGTTTCACTATCTATATAATCTATAGGTTCAAGTTCAACATAGTGCGAAGCAACCTGGATTTCAAGAGACGGAACTGAAGATGGCAATTCACGAGAATCACACTCGTCAGCTCTATTGGACAATTTATCAAACACATTGGCTTCCTGTGAGTTCCACTGTTGAAGGCGGCTTCCAAGTCAGACGAGTTTGCGGCATGGCTCAGAGTTGCAACTGGAGATGTACAGGTCGGTTGTGGAGATGCAGAGTTGTAACTCACGTAGTCAACACGGGCTCGTGAAGTATTTTCCCTACTCACCGAATCTGTGAACGTCCTTTGTCCAAATCGTATGCGCAATTTTTCTTTAAAATGCGTCCAATCCAACCAACTGAACCAAGCAAGAGCTTCACCATCAAGGTAGAAATAAGGAAGAGGTAGTCAATCCTTCTCGGAGAAGCCAATGTAGGTGAAGTACTGCTCCGCCCGATAAATCCAACTCTCGAGGTTGCCATTGCCATTGAAGCAATCTAGTAATGTCACTGGAGTCCTCTCGATAAAAGCACCAATGTCATGAACCTGAATTCACAGCACAAAATAAATGAGGAAAATGATAGATTTAATTCATAAACTCAAAGATTCAATCATTACAATAACAATAACTAGAACTAAGAAGGAGATCCAGAGAAGAAGGATAGAGAGAGCCGAGGGCGAACAGAAAGAGATGGTCCAGAGGGAGAAACAAGAAGAACAGAGACCAAGGGGAAAGTTTTCGACAATATGCATAATCCCTTGAGAATCACCGACTTCTCCTCTTTTAATAGAATAATTCTTGGGCTCACTACTCAGCCCAGATCCCAAATTAGTTTGACCATATTATTTGTTCTCGGCTCAATAGCTCTTTTTATTCCAATAGCTATGTGTGTGTTGATATCCTTATTAGGTTTTGTTTGATTCATAACACATACATTATTATATATAGTCCAGATATATATATATATATATATATATATATATATATATATATATATATATATATATAAAACGTGTTATTGGTTTGCTCACATCTTTAAGTTTACCTTTGCAAACTAAGCTTCCATCTTACACTCAATGTTTTCTTTCACTCACAATATTCCAGCAATTCTCTTTTTTGCTCTCTTTGTTTTTCATTGTTCATATTTGCTCTCATACTTGTTTATTCATCACTTACTTGTTGCTTGGTCTCACAACTCAAATAAATTAAAAGGGTATTTGCTACTCTCTTCTAGAATGTTATACCAAATATTTCTAGAATATTACTCTAGAATTCTCATTCTGGAGTTATTCTTTAGAATTAATTAAATATTCTCGTAATTTCATGTTGTCTAATTGTGAGTATGTTCGATCGTCACTTGGTCGTCCATTTTAAAGAACTTTTCTAGAAAAAAGTCATCCCAATGGGAAAGACAAGATTTTTGGTAGCTGACAAATTGTCACATTAATATAGAGCCACAATATCCTCCATTGGTTGATGCAAGTTGCATTAGCCATATGCTTTAATTTCTTCTGCTGCCATTGTTCGTGTTTTGATCATTTAAAGTGAAACAATTGATTCTATTTTGATTAAATGAAGACATATCATGTGGTTGATGTTCGAATATCATAGTTACTGTTTGACCCGAAAGATATTGAAATCTTTTTGATTAAATTAATTTAAAAAGTTGAAGAGGTAAATCTTAGTCAAACATAGTAAATTCCAGATCTGTAAACAAACCAGAAAATGATACATAAAATGAAGTAGAAGCAATAAATTATCGAAGCCTTTCATTTTTTCTTTCGCCCATCGGTGAAGATGACTGTTGTACATATTCATTGGAAGATTATTTTACTTTCTTTTCACTAAGGAGATTATAGAGGAGAAGGAGAGAGAAAAGCTCCCCCCCCCCCTTCTAGGAAAGTCTCATCCCTATATATAGTCATTGAGCCCTTGCCATGTATTTGGGTCATAGCCCCCTCACACCGTGTCCGTTTTCGTCATTCGGTGAATACGTGGTTTGGAGTAAATAATGTCATCTTTCCTTATCCCATTGTTTGGACGTGGTCCCAATTGGGTCGACCACAGCGGTCAAATTTTGACCAATACAGTTAGTCCCTCCGTGTGCCGGGGTCATCCCCTGTCGGGCCCGGTAGGCGGATGATGATTTCCGCTTATCTAGGAGAAATCTGATTGTCTACCCCTTGGGCATGATTTTTAGAATCAAGTAGTATATTGTCACCCTTTCGATATCTTTGAACCGTTGCGGCCGTTTCGGAACCGAAACATCGTTTAATCTTGAAATGTTGTTCGTGGTTTCCGCCATTATGACACACGTTC